ATCCTTTTTCCAAAGTGGAGGCACCATTTTGGATTCCTGGCAGCAGTCAATGAGAAGTTTTGCTGCTCCACATTTTTGTAAGCATTTGGCGTTTATTTCAGATGGAATTACTGGCCGACTTTGAATCGACCTCTCGGTCCCACACCTTCTAAAGCCTAACTCCTCCAAACTGAAGCTGGAGCGAGCCTCTATACATCCTGCAGTCAGTCGGTCGCTCTGACTTCCTCAGGACACAGGCTAAACCTGCAGCTGTCACGCATGGGACCCCCGAGCTCTGGGCCCAGCTGCCCTCCGCCTCCCGACTCCACTCTTTGTACTGGACTCGCGGCTGGACACAGTCCACTTTAGCTGGCTTCCGGTAGCAGAGCAGACCACATGGTGTCCTGCTCAGTGCCCCGGAGCTCACACTGAGCAGGTCACTGAGTTTTCTACTTTGAATTTCCAAGATGCAAGTATCCTTTGGACTTTGTACAGTGTTGCCATTCACAAATTACAAGGATAACACAGGAGTGTTTTTCAATTATGTTCTATGAAAACTTCCCCCAATTCAAGAAAGTTGAAAAAGTAGAATAATGCACATCTAGACTTAAATTCAGCAACTGTTGCCATTTGTCATATTTGTTTCACTCACCTATCATACTCCTATTCTTCCTCTTCTCCTTTGACTTCTCTTTCTTTTGCTAAGCTACTGCACATTAAGACACATGCATCTCCTAAGTATTAGAACAATCTTTTGAAATGCCAATTATCGCAGCCAAATGAACATCATTGATCTAACACTGTCTTCTGCTGTCTATACTCATATTTTGCCAGTGTCTCTAAAAGATGTTTCACCATGTTTGGTTCCAAAGACCCACATAAATATCCTATGCTGCATCTTTGGCGAAAATTTCATTTTTATTGGCTCTCAGGTTACCCAGATACCTGCTTCTTAACTTGAAGATTTGGGTTTGTCCCAAGAAATCTCCCCAAAACCTAGATCCACCCAGAGATTCCAATCTTTCAAAAAGCCAAGGTCAAATCCACTGATGATTCAAAATTTTGTACTGCAAATCTCTTGTCAAACATATTTACTTCCTCAGCCAAATTCTGAGCATCCTGGTGGCAGGGAATGGATGCCCTTTGCCTCAGTTGTGAGGTAGAGACAATATACATTTCAAGAATAAATTATTGGCTGGACTTTGCCAGTCCCTCACTGTGAACAGTTGGAATAAGCAAATGAACACTCTAGAAAGCTGAGTAGATGGAAGGGTGTGAATGGTGGGGGTGACAACGGTCAGAGAGGATATCCCAAGCATAGTGTACTGCTGGAAGAGCTTTTGAGAAGAACCATCTACACGTGTTCTTCTCCCAGTAGGCAAAAAGCTAGATGTTTACCATTAGTTAAAGATAAACCTAGAGTCTATTGGCACAGTAGACATTTTGGCCCAGATAATTCTTGAGAAAGAATTTTACATACAAAACTCAGGAACACTGACGCTGTTTGTACAGCTGTCTTACTCTGCTGTCCTAATGTGTTTTTAAACAAATATGCATGCCCAGTGGGTCCTTCTGGACCCTAACTAGGACTTGGTGCCCACAGTCAATGGAGGACTTCATAATTCATCAACATTGAATTCTTGAAATAAAATTCTTCTCTAAGTATAAGCCTTTCCTGCTGATAAATTTTGACAAACTTTTCTCTGTGATAAACTTCTTTCAGATGCTTCCTTCTTCCCTGCTTTTTGTCACCTGTGAGACTAATTTCAGGATCACACAGCTTTAGCTCCACCGTGCCTCAGAAGCTGCACACCGAGACTATTTTAGGTGGAGTGTTTCCTCCTGAGTCACCCCGTCTCCGAGTAGGAATGGCAGGCATCCTGCGGATTTCCCCATCTCCGCTGTTGAGAGCAGGAAGTTGAGACCAATAAGCACAACATTCCAGTGACTCTTCCCAGTTACTGGAGACCAGCAAGAAAATCCTGATTTAGTATGAATTTTCTGGCAAGAAAATTGGGAGCTTACTAGAGGCAAAGAGCTTCAAGAATGTTATTTATGAGCATGCATATTTTTTCAGAGGTAGGTTAAAAAAGTTTTCCTAGGGGTAAAGTTAAGTAAATGTTTTCATTCTCCAAAGAGACTTCACTAGACATTTTCAATAATGGGATAACGAAGACAAGGAAATTGTTTGACTTCCCTTTTCACAATTCAATTGGGGTTTTTTTCAGCCAGTTGCAGTCTCCTTGTTAACTTCTGAGGCTCACCCTGAAGTTTTCCCAGTGACAATCGGTCAAGCATGTCCTCTGAATCTTAGTAACTACCTATGACATGGAGCCCTCGCTATTAACACAAACCTGCACACAATTTGAATATTGACCCAGGTGGAAGAATACTGTGTACTCTGCCCTTCCCTGACCCTGTATCTGTAGCAGACATCACTTGCCTATTTAGGCATCCTGTCTGGCCTGAAGATCCCCCTCACTGAAAGCCAGGAGACCTTCCAAATGGCCCCATACGCAGCCACTTCCGAGGAATCAGAATGTCCCTATCTGAAACCTATTCACAATAAAAAAAGAAGGGGCAGTGCACAGAAATATGCCAGGAAAAGATGAAAGGGATGCAATAATCCAAAACGTGTGAAAGCCTTAGGCTTAATTTCTAGCTCCTGAGTAAGTTTCTTGGATGCATCTTTGTACACATGTAGAATGGAATAATTACGCCTCCACCTCAATGTCACTGAAAGAATTAATGGGAGAGTTGCTGATTTTAATACTTGTGAAAATGTCTAGGGTAGACCCTGGCACATGGAAGATACTCAATAGACAACAATTTATCGTGATTATTTTTGAAGGATCTCCAACTTAGTGTGACAGTTAATCTCATTGACTTGGAAAATTTGGGGAAGCTGCAGCATCCTACACTGTGGAAAACAACCTAAGACTCCATTCTTCATAAACTTTGACAAAATGTGTTGTTACCATTCCTCTCTAAAGTACAAAGTATCAGCCAGAAATACTTTTATGAGAGTTCATCTAAGTTAAACCTCCTAGGACCTTGCAAATATGTCTGATTCAACTCTGCAGCCCCTGGGCTTCTTGGCAGCCCACGACTCTCTACAGTGGAGGTCTTATTCTCCTATTTTCCTCTGCTCTTGCTCCTCTTTTTAGAGCCTATTGGAACCTCCATGACAGCAAGTTTCAGAGTGAATAAAACTGAGTGTCAAATAAAACTTTTTTTAAAAGCACCTCTGCATGAAAGTTGAGTGAAAGGGGCTGGGGAGATGGCTCAGTGGAATAAGGGCTTCCCTGGCAAGCGCAAGGGCCTGATTTCAATCCCCGGTTCCACCAAAAAGAATGAAAGAAAGTTGAGTGAGGGGGGAAGATGGGTTGTGTCTGCCATAAGAGATCCTCGACTTCAACAATGGCTACCTTTCCCGCCACGTCCCACACTTAGTTTACTCTCCTTCACAGTGGGTGACCCCCTTTCATTCCTGGAAGGGTCTGACTTCTGACTTCTGACTTTCTAAGTGACTCTGTCTACACTTGCCATTGTCATCATTGTTATTCTTAACATCTACTTAAATTCCAATCTCTGGCCCGCTCAATTCCTTTTCCCTCAGTCATCTTGTCCTCAACCCCACTGTCAAGTTCTCTGCTGTTAAGTTCTCTGTTTTGCTTAAATCCAGAAGTTGCTCCAAGTATCTCAATTTTCTAAAGAAAAGTCCAATTATAATGTAATCTTGTAATTATGCTTCTAGGAATAAATTTTTATTCTCTTGAGTTAAAAGCATATAAGCCATAAACTATCAATAGTTTCAGGAGGACAAGATCGTATTAAATGTAGTTCTTTGGAGAACAGGATTTTAAGACTACATGATTTAGAACTCTTTGGAAACAAAGAATAACGAAGAATCAAACTTTCTTCTGATTTCTGTATTAGTTTGACAATGATGTTCCTTTAACTGCCATTATTATCATTATTATTATTGGTACTTTTGAGATAGGGTCTTGCTAAATCCTGGTTTGGCTTATACTTTCTAACCTCTTGCCTCAGTTTGCTAATGCCCTTTTAATAAGATTGATGGCTACCAGGAAGAGATTTAGCTCAGGGGTAGAGTGCTTGCCAAGCATGCATGAGGCCTTGAGTTCCATGCCCAGGAAGAATGGTGTTTCGCATAAACATTTTTTTAAATTAATCTTCACATTATTATTCTGGGATAGCCCCATTTACAGCTGAAGAAGTTGAAACTTAAGAAAGTTTAGTTAAGCAGGATGCTAACTGAAGGGCTAGAATGTATGTCAGGCAATCCTTGGGGTCTTTTCTGCGTGTCCACATCATCTGTATCACACTAGGGCCAAGATTCCTTCCTACAATTCCTTTCTCATATCATCATAATTAGAGGACATCTGTGGTTCTTTCGATTTAAGGCAATAATTTGGAAGGCAGAATTCTTAATCTTTCTTTAAAACTCATTGCTTACAAAATATTAGTCAAATTACCTAAGTTCCTCTCGCCTTTCTCTTAACAGTAAGAAAAAAATATGCATTTATGCCTAAGAGGCAGAGGTGATAGATACGGAGTCACGGAAAGCAAGCTGCGCTGATCTTGTAACACTCAGCCTGCCAACAGTGATGTGTCGTGTTTCTCCGCGTCCCTCCGTCCTTTCTTAGTCCTTTACGCATCTCTTCCACTTTGAATGATGCTTGATAGTCACCAGACACTAAAGAATATTAAGTTAAAGAAAGATAGAAAAAGGGCCAGAGTGAGCACCTTTCTCTTTAACCCTCTCTCTACCGTTGGGTGAAATTTACCAGGCTCAGTTCCGGCTCTCATTTCCGCTTCCTTCTCCAAACATAATCAAGGTGAAGTCTCGAATGCTCTCATTTGGAGGAAAATGACTTATTTTCAAAAGCAGTGAAAAACACCACATTCCTCTGGCACAGGATGAAGAGCAGCTCAGCTCCTCAGCCGTGACATTGTCTATTGTTCTCGGAATAGTAAACCACGATTTCACACCCGGACTGTCGGCTGCCGTTGTAGTCTTAGTCGTGGCTCCTCGTGAATATGAAGTGAACCTCTCTGACCCTTTCTTTTCTATATACAAGAAAGCTAAATAGACAGGTGGGCAGAAAGGCGGGCTTCAGGGGATCAGTGTTATTGAGCTCTGCAGGTTCCAAGCAGGACGCAATGGGGTCCTGGAAGTGTGGAGGCTGCCTCAGTTGCCTGCTGATTCCTCTTGCACTGTGGAGTATCATTGTGAATATATTACTGTATTTTCCAAATGGGCAGACTTTCCGTGTATCCAGCAATAAGCTCACCAACTACGTGTGGTATTTTGAAGGACTGTGTTTCTCAGGAGTAATGGTACGTACGACTTTTAAATTTGGGGTTGCACAATGGGGAGTGGTAGGAAAATCATCCTGCTGCTCTTGGGTTTGAGATTTGGAAGACGGGTCAACGGGGAGGAGGAGGCAGCCCTCTAGGATTTGGGGTGTCGCTTTGTTTTCAGTAAGCTACTCGGCAATGTAAATTCAGCAGAGCAGGAAACGAGTTCCAGGTGGAAGTCCGTGCGGCGCTGGACTGTAAAAATATTAAGCTGAAAAAAAAAAAAAAAAACAAAAAAACCCACAGACTCTGTGAATCAGTTTAAACTGCTCTGTCCCCAGTTGCATTTTTCTTTTCTAGAACAGATTTTCTGTCTGCACAGTAATTTCTCTAGCTTGAAGAGGCACTGTCACAGGGGAGAAAAATCAGCGACACAGGGAGTCACAAACTCTTAAAGCTCAGCTGTGTTGAGTGCGCTGTGAGAACTTCAGCAACTTGCTCAAAAACATTGAGCCTCAGAGCCTCGTGCTTAAAGGTGTGAACAATGACGTTTAATCTTCAGGGCGACTGCAAGCGTTAAGTAAAATCACATAAAGTGCCTAGAACAGAGCTGACCTAGAGTAGGTGGTGGCCAGCGCTGTTTGATTGTCAATACTCATCAAAGTGTGGGACACATCAGCAATAAATAGCCCTATTTCCTATTTATAATAGAATGGATGGAGGATGGTTTTTAAATATGAAATCAAATTATGCACAGTAAGAGCCCATGCTTTCCTGACAGCTTTGTGTTCTTCAAAAATAAACCAATAGTAAATCATGTTGGCAACATAGAGGAAAAGAGGCTTTTCTTGATCATCCCATTTCTAAAAATAATAAATACATTGTGTAGTGTGCTTTTGGTAGGCCACGAATATTGTAGAAGAAAATTCATTGTTATCTATCTCTATATCTTTCTGTGTTGGATTATTATAATGTTTGAATAGGTATCTAGAAAGCAGTTTTTGTTTCATTTTGCATATTATATTAGTAAATTTCAAGATATTAGTCTCTAGGGCTGTTGAAGTTGCTATGCAATAGGTATATAACTAACATTGTTAGTGGCATTACAAATAAAGCAAAACTGTGGGAGAAAAGTTGGTGCACTATATCAAGTCTATGAAAATATTTACATCATTTGATTCAGCAATCATAGATCTTATCATGAATTCTGAGGAAATATTCCAACATAGGGAAAGAGTGATATGCCCAGATGTTTGTTGTAATGATTGATACATGTATAACTTGAGAAGTTTAGAAGTTTAACTCAGCAACTCAGCAGGGGCCCAGAGCCCCACTTAGTAAACATCCTCATTCTGTGCAAGAGGGGGGCTGGAGACCGTGTGAATGCTACACCCAAGGGACAGGTGGCCCGCTTACAATATAAGGGAGAACCAAGGCTTGCTCTTCCCCCTTGTGCTCTTGCTGCGTCTGCCCCCTAGAGCTGCTGCCCCTGTGCCGCACCACCCGGCCTTGGAGCCAGCTGATTACTGACTGAAACCTCCACAAACTATAGGCTAAATAAACCTTTCTTTCCATAATTTTGGGTGTTGGGATATTTTGTCTCAACAACCAGAGAAAAGTGACTAGGACATTTGTGATAGCTTTGTTTACAATAGTAAATAACTAAAAGGCGCACCCTAGCCCAGAAAGGCTGAATAAATTTTGGCAAATTCTCCTCATTGAAAAAATTTGGGACTGGGGAGATGGCTCAGTAGAATAAGCTCTTGCCTGGCAAGCACAAGGGCCTGAGTTCAATTCCTGGTTCTGAAAAAAAAATTAATTATGAAAATATGACAACATAGAAAGTGCATATTATTTCACGTAAGTGAAAAAATACAATAAAATTGGGTCAGTTATTATTGTAACTGTAAAACATATGTATATAAGAAAACACTAAAAATAAGTACGCTAAAACACAGGTGGGCGGTGGAATTACAGGTCATTTACCTCCATTATTCTTGAGTCCTCCATATAGCACATGTGCTTTAAAACGAGCAGAGGAAACCTATTTTTCAACAAATGGTGTCTGAGCAACAGGACATGGGGCACAGAGGTAATTATCTCTACCAGCATTGTCGTGAAGCTGACTCGTGTGCTTCAGCATTGCCTCATTACTGTTTACCTCAGCACATAATCGTAATGAATGAAAAAGGTGCAAGGCATAAATAAGATTAAATTAGAATCTATCAAAATCTGTTGAAACTAATGGTATTGAAAGAATGAGAAATACAGGACTCACTGGCTCACCTTCCAGATAAAATTTAAAATGGGAAATAATGTGTTTCCTTTTTTTTTTTTTTGTATTTTTAGTGCAGGGTCTACAGGGCTTACAGGGTCTCACTACACAGATCGGACTCATAGTGATTCTCCTGTTTTCAGCCTCCCAAGCACTGGGATTACAGGCACATGCCAGGGCGGGGCCGGCACAGCAGTGTTTCCTATTTTTAGGAATTATTTTTGGAGTAAGTAAATAAAAGAAAACTTACTAAGAAAAAAAAAGGAATTATTTTCATTTATAATAAGTGTATTCTTGTAACTGTATAACATATTTTAGGAGAAATGGGGGAAATATAGGTAAATAAGTAAATGAAAAGATAAATGAAAGCTGAAGGAATTTGGAAACTGGAAATATTGGCTACAAATAGTAAAATAACAGTGGACTCCACTTTCGGACTTCGTCCTGAGCAGCTAGTGTAGGGGAAGGATGGGACTTTTCCCGCAGGCCATGAGCCACAACTGCCTTAGCCAGGAATCACAATAGGAAAGACATCCACATTCTTTGCAGAGCTCAAGCTCCTTGGTCAAGATACCAAAAAAAGAGAAACAAAATGTACGGATTTCTTCTAAAATCATGAAATATGCAAAACCACTGGACAGTTTGCACCTGAGATGGTTTGGCTGCATGGGGAAGCTCTACTTTCTTTAAGGAGCCAGAAGTTCAGATTAGCCGTGCCTGTCATCTCCATTCCCAGAAGCAGTCAATGGAGAGACACTGGCAAACCACAAACGCTGGTGAATAGTTTCCTTATCCTCCACAGGTCAGCCAGTGAAAACAGCAGCCTTGCTGCCCAAGTTGGCATTGTCCTGACCCTACCATCTACTCCCCCTTGACCATGAGCTTTGGATTATTGCAAACCATGATAATAATAGCTAATATTTATCAATCACTTACTGTAACCTTAGCACTGGGTTCAGATGTTTCATATCACCTCACGCCAACTGAGTTCTCACACTGTGTTACAGGGAAGGAAGGACTCTCAGATTGATACTGCTAGCAAATCACAGGGCTAGAATGGAAACCCAGGATTGCCCTATTCCAGGGTCTATGCTTGGAGTCACTGTCCCCCGATCAGGAGCAGCAGTGGGACCTAGCACCATATTTCTCATCTTTCATCTCCTGCCTTACAGATGCTTATAGTAGCCGTGGTTCTCCTTGTATTGGACAGTGATAACCGCTACAAATGCTGCCAGAGTGAAAACTGTAGCAAGAAGTACATGGTAAGAGTGCTGGTTGGGGCAGAGGTGAGGGTGGCTGAGCGGCTCCAGCTTTCTCTCCTCTCACTCAGAAACATGACAACAGCAACACCACTGACACCATCGCACCCTCCCTGCCCTGTCCCTTGGTCCAACTTGCTCCTGAAACCCCCTTCTGTTTTGTGAACACTATTTCCCCCTCCTGTATTCTGATACGCTTCCAGAAATCCAGGATTTAAATATTCAAATTAGGAAGCAATATTTCTTTTCCTAAGTGGGTTTCTAGGTGTCTATTTTTTCCTTACCAACTTCTCCAAGGACTAATTTATGTACAAGAAATGGCATCCATTGAAAGCGTACAATTCCATGAGTTTAGACCCCAGAGTGTGCTCATGAGATGCAAGACAAGAACATGCCCATTATCCCCAAAAGATGAACCTTTGAGGGCCAACCAGACAGCTCAGCAGACTAAAGCGCTTGTTTAGGCAGAGCACAGTGGCTGAGATTCAATCCCTGGCATGCTGTGCTGGCCCTGCCCCCGGGCCACGCTGTGATGGAAAATGAGACTGGGTGTGGTGACGCAGGCCTATAATCCCAGCGCTTGGGAGGCTGAAAACAGGAGGATCATTACAAATCCAATTTGTGTTGTGAGACTCTGTAGACCCTGTACTAAATACATTTATTTTAAAAAAGAACCTTTGCTGCATTCTTTACCATTTCAGATTAGTTTGTATTTATATAAAATGAATCTTACAGTATTTTCATTTTCTTTCTGCCCTCTGTCACCCAGCACAGTGACTTTTAGATTCATCTGAGACACATGTGATGAGATGTATGATGTACATTTTGTAAGTTGGAACTTTAAAAATAATTAAATTATACAGCAAGATTTTCCAACAGGCCTGTACTCATCACCTTCCTCCTTCCTATCCCCTTCTTTCTTTTTTTAAAAATGTGTTTAGTACAGGGTCTACAGTGTCTCACTGCGTAGATCGGACTCATAGTGATCCTCCTGTTTACAGCCTCCCAAGTGCTGGGATTACAGGTGTGTGCCACCATGCCCAGTCATAGTCACCATCTCAGCGCACCCCAGGGGTGGGGCCAGCACGACTTGTGGTACCTGGGATCAAACCCCGGACCCTGCATTCATGCCTAAGCAGGTGCTTTAGTACGCTGAGCTATCAGGCCAGCCCTTCTCTCTTTTCTTAACTCACCCTCACATAGTCCTTTAGGGCACTTTCACTTTTCCCAGGTCAATTAGGTCATCCTCACTCCTATTTTATAGACACAGTCCCTGTGGCTCAAGAGAACCTGTGGTTTGTTAACTAGTGGCAGCACTAGTGCAAGGCCTGCTGGGCGTTTCTCCACAGACAGCTCCTCAAGTTAGCTCTGTATTGCAGCCACCTGGGCACTTACACGAACGCTAGTGGCAGTGCCAGAGTCCTACCTGGAATCTCTGACTTTGTTGCCCTGAGGTACCACCTGGGTGTGGACTTTTTAAATCTCCCAGAAGATTTTTAATGTGTACCCAAGTTGGTGTGGCCAACTTTCTTTAACAGATGCCTTTATAAAATGAAATTAATTGCTTAATTTAGTACTCTGTCTTACTTGAGAAGAATTGAAATGCTTTCTCCCTGTCCCTGTCCCTCTCCCTGTCCTTGTTCCTCCTCGCATCTCTTGTGTATGTATTCAGACATCCCCACAGTTCTTGTATTATACTTATGGGAGAGCTTTCAAAGCTGTTTAGGTAAGTAATGGATTTATGTACACATTTAAGCTACTTTACTATTATATTCAGGAAAATTCTGAAAGCAAATGTATCAGTCACTAGGTATATAATAAAATCAGTGTTCAATTTATTTTAACTTACTATTAGCACCTCCAGCATAAATGGCTGCTAGAAATATTGTCATATATTCAGCATTGAATGAGATGACTGACATGTCACTGGGAAGGACAGGAGCAGGGAGAGTGGATTCCTTGGCTTCCTTGTTTGCATTTTTTCAAGATAAGCTCTAAACAGAGGTACCATTCCTTGTGCCCCCAGGAGCTAACTGTGTGATGCCAGCCAAAGCGAGCCTGGTGGGCACTGGAGGGAAACTCCCACCTATGCAGCAAAGAGCCGCTGCCCAAGACCAGTCAAGTTTTACTATGATAAAATTGGGTGCTAATTCCCCGTTTTCAGTAGAAATACAGATTTTTATATAAAAGTTCTCAACCTCAAAATATGACAGTTACTTCTCCTATAAACCAAGTAAAACACATCTTGTGGGCCAAACTGGCATCTGCGCCAATTTGCTACTTCTGCAGCTCCATAATGAGAATTGAAGTCGCCTAAGATTCGCTCCTTGGTTGTGAATGTGCGCCTCCAAAACTCCCAGTGAAACTTAATCCCCGATCTGGGTTAAGTTCTCTGGGGAAGTTACTGATCACGAGGGCTTTTCCTGAAGGGTTGGCTAAGCGCCTTTATAAAAGGCCTTGAAAAGACCACGCTTGCCCTCCTCCGCCGTGCGAGAATGTAGAAAGTGGCATCCACGAAGGACAGGACTGCCCTAGATGCCAAGTCTGGGCAGCTCGATCGTGGACTTCCCAGCCTCCGGGACTACAGGCACTAGCATTCTGTGGTTTGTAAATTATCCGGCCTAAGCAGCTTTTGTAAAAGCAACGATAGTCTGCTCTGCCAAAATTCTTGGGGGCAGTTTTTCCTGGAAACTAAATACTGGGTAAATAAGATCATGTAAAAGAATAGCTAAATATTTATTGTCTTAATTTTTGAAAAGCTGTTACCTACGTGCTGTTATCTTCTACATCGTCTATAACTTAACAGAAAATGAAATTATGGCCCAGAGGCTGTGGTCCCACTTGGTGCTGCGGCTCCCTTCAGCGGCACTGCGGTGTGCCGGTACACACGCATACAGTGTGCTGGAGCTTCCAGCTTCCCCAGGTGCAGAAATTCTTCACCAATCTTTCTGGTGAACTGCTTAAGGGTCCTTTTGATAAGCAAAGACCTGTATCTTTTTCAAAATAGTACCCTTCTTCCTTTTTCAAATTTGGAAATAAGCAAATAGTTGAGAACAGGTAAATTTGCTTTATAAAGTATGACTAATCTACCTTTTTTAAATGTATTTAGTACAGGGTCTACAGGGCCTCTACACAGATCGGACTCGTAGTGATCCCTCTGTTTGCAGCCTCCCAAGCGCTGGGATTACAGGCATGCGCCACTATGTCCAGTCTCAATTGCCATCTCATGGTGCCCTGGGGGGCAGGGCTGGCACGGCATGCTGGGGATCGAACCCCTGTCCCTGAATCTGCCTAAATAGGCGCTTTAATCTGCTGAACTATTTGGCCGGCCCATAATTTGCCTTTTAAAAATAGAGCTCTGGTTCTCTCATTTCATTGGTAAAACTATTAAAATTAGCATAAATAATTTCAAAGAGCATTTAATTTTATGTTAACATACCAATGAGATAATAGCAAATTAGAATTATTCCTTTATTCCATTTATAAATGTTTTTCTAATTTTCCATAATGAAGATATAATCAGGGAAAATATCTTAAATAAAGAAATATCATTTCAGGTCATTTTTGTCCCTAACATCACAGGTTTGCTATGCTAGCTTTGTCTGGTCTCAGCTTATGGATTTATCAAGTAACTCTTAAGGATTGATTTTTACCTTTACCTTCAAATTAGCGTATCTAAAAATAGATCAATGTTTCTCCCAAATCAAACCACCCCTTTAGTATTCCTGTTTCTGTGTCCTTTTCATCCAAGCCCTAACTTAGAGTTCTTTCAGTCCATCTCCTGTTGCTCATTCCCTCCTGAGCCTGTCCTTGTCAGCGCACATGAAGCTGCCTCCATACGGAGTCGCTGTCTTGGGGCCCACTCACTTCCGGTTCATGTGCCGCCACCACCACCACCAACATGCCATCTTCCACAAGCGCATTTGGGCACGTCACTTCCTTGCTCAAAAACCAGCTTCATGACTTCTTAGAGAAACAGAGCAGGGTGAGTTCAAAATGAACCAGGAACACTGTAAAGCAAGGATTGTTCAAAACAGGCTGGGCATGTCAGCAGACATTGACTTAAATAAATGAGTTTTCCCATGGCCAAATCTTGGCACTTGTCAAAATAATGAAGGTTGGGATTATAGCATGTTGTATTATAAAAATCAATGAGTCCAAACTAATGTTGAAAGAGAGAAGCAAAGGAGAGAGAATGGGGAAATGAAAACTCTGCAGAAAAAAGGTAACATGAAATACAAGGACGTGAGAATTATCCTGCTGCACATGGCAAGCCTTAGTGTGACAACTTGTGATTAGTGGGTACGTGGCTTGTCAAAGTGGTACCAGATCCATCAGGTGAACTGTGGTTAGGAAATGACTCTTACACTGCCTCGAAGTACTACTTCACCAATTGTTTACTAATTGCAAAGCACAAAATGTACCTGTATGGGCGGGAGACCTGAAGGATGCCCTTAGCCAAGAGAACAAGCTGAGCACCACCAGTAGCACACAAGAGACACACAGTATGAAGCATATCATTCCAGTATTCTTAACAAAACATTTGCATCCAAGGGCCGGGGAGATGGCTTAGGGCTGGGGAGATGGCTCAGTGGAATAAGCGCTTCCCTGGCAAGCGCAAGGGCCTGAGTTCAATCCCCAGTCCTGCCAAAAAACGTTTACGTCCACCTGTGAGGGAACAATTAGAAAAGCTCAGAATGTGGGTGATGATAAGACAATGAATGGGTCAGCTTTCTTTAACAATATTATGAAAAGCAAAAAGTCAAACTGATGTCAATTAAAGGAAACTACAATGACATATCCTTGTGCATAAATAAGGTCTTCATTGGACCTTTTATGAAAAGTTCTTTTTTTTTTTTTAAAAAAAAAAAAAAAAAAAAAAAAGGTTATTTATTTGGTACAGGGTCACACTACGCAGCTTGGATTTGTAGTGATCCTCCTGCCTCAGCCTCCTCAGTGCTGGGATTACAGGCACGCACCACCATACCCAGTTTGGTGGCCAG